AAAGCGCTCCCAGTTCCCTCCCAGTGCTCCCAGTTCCCTCCCAGCGCTCCCAGTTCCCTCCCAGTGCTCCCAGTAAGGGCGGTGCTGGGAGGGAATGCGCTCCCAGTTCCCTCCCAGCGCTCCCAGTTCCCTCCCAGCGCTCCCAGTTCCCTCCCAGCGCTCCCAGTAAGGGCGGCGCTGGGAGGAGCCACACCAGGGAACGGCCCTACAGGTGTGGGAAATACAGGAAGAGCTTTAGGACAAGGTCCAGCCTGATGTCCACCTGAGGAGCCACCCTGGGGAGAAACGCTACGGGTGTCCCCAGTGTGGGAAGAGCTTCTCCAGGAGCTCCAAGGGATTGTCCAAATTTGCCCCAAATTCCCCCAAATTTGCCCCAAATTCCCCCCCCGGGCCCGCGCGGTGCATTGTGGGACTCGCGCTCCGCCAGGGGGCGCTCGCGAACCCTGCGAAGGGGGCGCGGCCCAAGCTGCGGCGCCGACCAATCACCGCTCAGGAGGGGGCGGAGGGGAGCAGCCAATGAGCGCGGAGGGGGCGGGGCCCGGGCTGTGGCACTGACCAATCAGCGCTCAGGAGGGCGCGGAGGGGAGCAGCCAATGAGCGCGGAGGGGGCGGGGCCCGGGCTGTGGCACTGACCAATGAGAGCTCAGGACGGCGCGGAGGAAAGCACCCAATGAGCGCAGAGGGGGCGGGGCCCGGGCTGCAGCGCTGACCAATCAGCGCTCAGGAGGGAGCAGCCAATGAGCGCGGAGAACGCGGCGCGCGTAAACGGAATTTTGGGGTTTTTTTCCCAATTTTTCGCCCATTTTTCCCCGTTTTTTCACCGTTTTTTTCCCCGTTCCGCACCGAATCCCCCCCACCGCCAGACCCCCGCCCCAGGAACTGCGCGGAGCTCAGGCGGGTTTGGGATTTTTTTGGTTTGTTTTTTTTTTTTCTCCCTTTATTCGGATTTTTTAGTTCATTAATGGGACGCGGAGCGGAGGCACTTCGGGGGGAACCCCCCCCCCCCAAAAAAAAAAAAAAATCCGCCCCCGGCTCGTTAATGGATTAATTAGCCCCCCCCGAGCCGGGGGGTCGTTAAGGCACCGGGGCCGGGGGGGGGTTGGGAAAATTCCACTTTTCTTCATTTATTGCTGGGCCGCGTTTTTTGGCTTTTTTTAAATTTTTTTTTATCATTTTTTTCCTTTTTTTAAATTTTTTTTTTTTAGCTTTTTTAATTTTTT